TTTTTTTTTTTGTTAAACCCCCCCCCCCCCCCCCCCCCTTATTATAGTTAAACTTCTGGTGCTTTTTCCAACATGATCAATCAGTACCCTGTTGGGTTACTTATTAATTTAGACTTTGAAACACAGGCAACCTTAGAAGAAAGGATAAAACATATGGAAAAAGAAAGAGATTCCTGGGTCCAAAAGCAGGTAAAAGGTGCTTCTGTCTCAACACATATGCTTGTTTTTAGTTGTAAATGTTGTAGTCTCAAGAATATGTTTAGTTTTATTGTGGTCAATAGAAAAAGAGTAAGGAAGTATGTCTAATATAATTTGCTTATTCTCACTAGCATATAGAAGGTTTGAAACCTAGAAATGCTGCAGATATAGAATTTTAATCCTCTTAACACGGTTTTTGTTCATGATCATCACTTTTATCTAGAGAAGTCAGAATTCACCTTAAAACTTCTCGCTTGCAGTTGCTTTTGTTTAGGAAAACAAGCCCTGCAAACGAGAGTCCTCTTAAGGTATCTATTCAAGAACTGGAAATCTGAAAGTTCCTCTTCCTTTGGTCGCCTTGATCCCATGGAAGAAGTAGAGAATAGACAAGCACGTACTTGTTGAAAACCCCAAAACTTCAAACATGCTTGTAGGCATTAATTTAGCGATTTTAATGAATTGCTATGTCTAGTCATTGTAAGTTTGAGAACCCAGTTAGACTCGAATGTTAGTAAATTAGATCTTTTTATGAGTTATGTGCAAATTATAAGAAGAGCCGGGCAAAAGTATAGATGTTGCTTAATTGAGGGGGCTTTGGTGTAATAATAAATAAAAGTAGTTATATTGTAATAAGCACAAATCCTAGTTTATGTAGGATTTCTAATTTTTAAATTTTATCTAAATACACGAGGGCTGGATGTCTTAAATATTTAGTCTAATAGATGTATGTTAGATATAGTTTAGTGTAAGATCTTTGATTGCCTAAAGTTTGTCTTTATAAGCAATTTCTATAATCCTCTATATGTTATACCTATTCATAAATATCTTTTTTTTTTTTCTGGAAACCAACTAATGATTGCTTGTCTGCTATAGGTTAGTATAGAAGAGAAAATTAAACAATTGCAAAAGGGCAAGGATGCATATTTGCAAAAAGAGGTAATTCTAACTTAATTTCGCTGTTCTGGCTGTAGAAGGTTATGCAGCTGCTGCAATCCTATGGACGTGTTCTATTATACACTTTTCCATCCGTTCTCGTTACCTTTTTTGTGTTTCTTGTAATTTCAGTCTTCATATATTATAAATAAATTTTCAGGCTGATCTAGAGAGGAAAATCCTACAACTAGAGAGTGAGAAAAATTTGTGGCTCAAGAAAGAGGTGACTCTTTTAGAATTATCAACTTTTCATTGAAATTTTGGTTCTTAGAACTCTATTCTTAAGAGCAATTTTGAGTTTCCAGCCTCATTGGAGACGTTTAAGTTGCAGTGTTCTTTGATTAGCTATATAACATTTTAACAAGAGACATTTTCTCTAGTTGAAATCAGGTATTTTGAAGTTCTCCCAAACTCTTTTCCAGTCTTGTCGTCTAATATCTCGACCCTTGCAGGTTGGTTTTGAGGAGAAAACTAATCAGCTGGAGAATGAAGTGGACATTCTAAATTTAAAAGGGGTAATTGATTTAATAGTTAGAATTTGAGTTTCCCCTTAATATTGCTAAACTTCCTAAGCTTTTTTTGGCATGATCGAATCAGTACTCTGTTTAGTCAATTCCTGAAGATTTGAATGGTTCAGTATATTAACTTAGACCTTGAAGCACAGGCGAGCTTGGGCGAAAGGATAAAACATATGGAAAAAGAAAGAGAGTTCTGGGTCCAAAAGCAGGTAAAAGGTCGTTTTGTCTCACACGTATGCTTGTTTCGAGTTTTAAGCCCTTGTTTGCTGGGAATTAAAATCAGAATTTAGTAGATTTTGATAAAAGTTGATGAAATGTGTAGTTGAAAAGTTGTGGGTCCCATGAAATATGTGGTAAACTTAATTGTTGACTTTAACTTAGAAACAAGGGCTAAATGTTGTAGTTTCTAGTATCGGTTTAGTTTTATCTTCAGAAGACCTAAGAGAAAAGAAAAGTATGTCTTATAAGAAGGCTTGAAACCTAGAAAGGCAGCAGAAGTAGAATTTTAAACCTCTTAACACATTTATTTGGTTCATGATCATCGCGTTAATCTGGAGAGATGTTGGAATTTACCTCAAACAATCTTGCCTTCTTCAACTATGAATAGAGATAATAATAAAGGCACTAATTTCTTGATCTTTTTTTTTTTTAATCTGTGACAGAATTCAACAGAGGAAGCAATTGGCACACTTGAAAATGATAACACAAAATTACGAGCTGAGGTATTGGGTCCAGCTTCCTGAACAATCATCATTTAATAGCTGAACTTAGTTTGTCCATCTACCTGGATGTCTTTATCGTTCAACTTGTATCGATTGTTTTATTGGTTATTTCTCCTACTAGTATGAAGTTATACACATCGAACTACGTTACATATTACGATGCCTTGCAATATAGTTGGATGGTTAAAAAAAAAAAAAAAAAAAGCCCTTGATATAGTATATTGTTATGGTCAGAATACTTGATGATATGGCTGTTACGTATTGGTATTTTGTGTTTAAATCACTTTTTAGTTTTCTTGTTGAACAGATGGCAGAAAAGGCTTAGAGACATTTTGCATTTTTGGTCCTGCTTAGTTTCTTTTTTAAGATCCGAACACTTCATGATAAAGAAGGCGCTTATAGTAGCTACTTTAGGGGTTTGGGATGTATTGGATCCTCGTAATTCATTCATATTTTCCCATGACATGACCTCTGTTCCCAATGTTTAGTTGTTAGGCTCTGCCTCTTGGCATAAACATCCTAGTAATCCCCAGAGATGAGAAGAATCCCATGGCATCACGCACATGATACCTCTTTGTGGGACCTATTTAAGACTAGCTTCTCTATTTATTCTGCTATGGAAATTGGGAGTTAAAACTGAATCCTGGCAGGTGATGGAGTTGGTAGAGTCGAAGAGGAGGAATCTCTTACTAGAAAATCATCTTTTGACAAAAAACATGTCTAGTCTTCAGTCACAGATCAATAAACTAGAGAGCAATGTTGCTTTTTCTCGCTCTTCTGTAGAGTACGACGAGGTTTGTATTTTTGGTTTTCCTGTATCTTACTTCCAACTTATCATTCTTTCAGCTGTTTTTGAGCTTCTAATTTTTCAGAAAGGAAATGTTCTTTGGCTTATAAGGGATTGAATCTATTACTTTTATTTCATATTGCTCATCATCTGGCCAACATTTTAATGAAATTTTTCTTTTTGATGTAGCTCACCTCTGAGAATGGGGATGCAGACTATCGGATAGAAGCTGCACATCCAATGGTTGAGAATTTGATTAGAGAAAATGCAGAGCTTGTTGGGAAGGTAAGGTATTATATTGTGGAACAGTGTGCAGAAGCTGTGGTAGCTGATGCACAAGTTGTTTTATTTTGTGGTCATATTTTTACTAGCACATGCTTATCACTTGGCCTCTCTCTTTCCCCTTCTAACTTATTGCTGTTCAGTTGAGTTTAGAAGAGTAAAATTCATGTCCATATCAAAAAACTTCGAGTAGTGGTGACCGCTAATTGTAATGAACCAACTAGAATAAGAGAAAAGTTCCATTTTTCTGGCGAAATTTCTTTTTTCCTTTTATTTATTTATTTTAATCCAATCTGGACAAGAATGAAGGTTATTTTTATTTTGTTTCAGGTGGATGAGTTGTATTCTAAGCTTGAGCAAAGGGGTGGTGCAAAACTGGAAATCTCTTCCTCTGTTGTCTCTGATCCAAAGGATGTGATTCCTCAACCAGCTAATGTTGCCGATAACTCAGCTCTTGCGCTGCATCCAACAGTTGGAGCTTCCAATGGACGTGGATCTGCACAAGCAACTGATTCCTCGTCTGAAGCTGGTAAGATGACGTTTATGTCGAGTGAGAGGACCGAGTCCTTGGAAGATGTCATCATCAATGACAAAGATGGTAATGCACTTGCAAATTCTTCGGACTTGGAGTCCAATGAAATTGTGCAAATTCCATTGGATGAGAACAAAGTTATGGATGCATCTGATTTAGAGGCGGGACAAAATGATGAGAAAATCGATGTCCCACTTTCAGAAGCTCCTTTGATTGGTGCGCCATTCCGTTTAATATCCTCTTTTGCTAGATATGTAAGTGGTGCCGATTTAGTTGATAAGAACTCTGGAAGCTCAGCTATATGACATCCTAGCTTCGCGTTATAACGTTTACCATTTTGTAGACACAAAATATTGACACCACAGATATGATGAGACATAAAGCCATTGTTTTTAACAGGCAGATAGAAGCCTCCCAGAGTCTGGGAAAAGCATTATTCTTGAAGCTATTGACCTCTTGTTGGTCATAACTTCCGGTATCTGTTTTTGTAGAAGATCTAGTATGAAGTTATTTTAGCTTTGATTTAGCGGAGTTATTCAGTTACTATAGTACGATTGACTTGATACGTTGGATTGGACAAAAGATTCTTTCTTTCGAGTGTCATTGTTCTTTAATTCTAACCAATCCAATGTGGCATGCCCCAAGTGGCTTTAGAGAATGTATGCTGTTTGATTTGTGAATAATGTTATTTACAATCAGCGACTGTAGTAGTCATTCTATATAGCAGTTTGTTATTTGAGGTATTAATTTCCTGTAATTTTGTTGCTTCAAATAATAAGTTAATATCTCAAATAACAAGTTATCACATAAGAATGACTACTGTAGGCGTCGACTATGAGTAAGTGGGGTTGGATTTCCAGATTTGTCATCAGCTAAAACTTACCAAAATGTCATTGATGAAGGCCCCACCCGAGTTTCTTTGCTGTATTGGCTGAGGAACTAAAAAGAGGTTATATGAAGAGCAAGTTATCTTGTGCTGAAAGCTATAGACCTTAAAACATTAATCTGAATAATTTGCGTTTGATAGTAAAGATTATTTTTACGTTATTTTATTACATGGACTTACGTTGAATCGTACAAAAATAAAATTGATATTAAAAACGTTAATAATGTTCACGCATTTTTATTTCCAAATTTCTCAAGGACTTGTTAATAAAATATTTAACATTACATTAAAAAATAATATTTGTAAATGAGGTTTCATTTAAAATGTTTGTAATATCAGTTAGACCTCTAATTCATTATAAAATACCTCATTTGAATATCTTTTTCTTGTAATTTAAATTTGATTTTATTGTTGAATATGGATTTTAATTGATGAAAACATACAAGAACAATTTTATATTCCCTATTTATATTCTATTGTATCAAACCGTTAAGAGTTTCATAAATTAGGTGACTTATCAATTAAAAAATACGTTCAGGACATAAAACCTAAATGAAGTTCAATTTGTGAACACTGTTGTCACAGCATCCAGACTACTATGACTAAAAAAATTACAAGTACTTTCGTAATTTCCGGTAGTTCTTTTATCCTAGTAGTTGTTATTTCGTTTTTGTCCATTTTTGTTTATTTAATTTAAAAGTTCTGCCAACATTTTCCGATAACATAAATGAGCAATATGTTCTACGCACATGTCGATGCATAAAAATAGGGGAATTTGGCCAGATGACCCACTTAGACAATGATTTTGGACAAATAGCCTTTGACCATCATTAAAATGGAATAAAAAAATTTAAAATGTTTTAATTGATAAAATGACAAAATTGTCCTTCAATTTATATCAAATTATTCACCCAACTTCTTTCATTTCACCTTCTTCTTTCTTCTTCCCTTTTCCTGTGAAACCCTATTCCTCAAACTTGAATTCCAAACCCATCTTCTTCACCTTAATTTTCACTATATTTCAATATTACAAAAAACTTTTCTTTGACTCTAGTTTATTTCACATTACTTTACCCTCTCTTTGGTATAAGTTAAGACAACAAAAAAGGTAATTTTTTCTACGATTTTTTTTCTTTTTTGTTATTTTAAAATGTGATTTTATGCTTCCATTACTATAGTTTTATAATAAAAATTTGTAAAAATTGCATTTTTTTTATGATTTCGTGATTTATTTGTATATTTAGTTTAGTTTTAGCTGAGTTTTTTTAATGTGAATGGATTTTTGATACATTTGGGGTTTTGAAGATGATGGGTTAAAAAAAATTCATTTACTGGCATTGCTATAAATCGAAATTGTGATATGTAAATGTGCTTGTTCTTTGATATGCCTTGAAACTTAGAGAGTTGCATTAAGAATAATTTGATTTAAATAATTCGGCATTTTTAGGAAAATTCTTTATATTATGTTT